CAAATGTGGAATCGTAATGATGAGATGTTCTGTCTAACACCTGCTTTTTCTGCTGATCACGTTTCATTCTGACAACCCGCCCCCACGTTTCAAATCCCAAATGCAGCCACATATGGCCATGATGCCTCATGACAAGTATGAAAACACAATGGTTATCGCTTATCTGGGATAATTGGCCAGGCATCCTTCAGGCAGGAGGGAATTGGAGAGGAAATGACATAATGAACTGCAGGCCCCTTCATCAAATGTAAAACATAATTGCGTCAGGGACGATCATTGTTTTCCCCCAATTATGATATAAATCACGATGGCGACAGGTGAAAGAAAACAGTAAAAGGGATTGATTGCATTGCACAAGACGCAAATGAGGTGTACACTTGCTAAGCAAATGACACAAAAATATGACAACATGTTTTCCTGTGGAATAATCAGCAGGACTCCTCGAAAATGTTTCATCTGGGAAATGGCAGAATGACAGAAACAAAATAATACATATGTATGCTTAATGCACGGTACTGTCTACAGAAAAGAGGACAAGCAATGAAATTTTGCATCGGCGACGTGCAATCTTCAAACTGAAATTACAATTACAAGGGAATAGAAAGCCAATACATTAAAGGTGGGATAAGGCATTCAGGAAAGAGTTTGACAGCTAACCATGGAAGTCCGTCGTCGGATCATTTTCCAGGGAGAAGTAGTTTTCCCAGGCAGGGGAATTTCCGGGGGGGGGGTTCCCGGAGGGGGGATCAGCCAAAAACGGGTAAACCAGTCACAGTGGAAGAGAGTCACTTTCGACGCTTTCCAAGAAAACCGGTGACTTTAATCCCCTTTCATCTCCTTTTTACTTCTTTTGCCTTCTTTCCCCTTTAATTTCTCTCCGGGGGAAACACCCCTAGCTCCACCCTCTTGTAACGCCCATGTAGCTAACGCGCATGTAAAATTAGAACACTGAAAGATGATAGCAGCTATTTTAGGATGTTTGAATTGAGATCAAAATGGATCTAAATATATTTTTCCCAGTCCCTGGCAAATTCATATCATCGAATGGCTTCTCTGACCCTCTGCCTACGCTCTTCGAACTTATTCTATATATTCAATAAATCTGGAAATCTAACAAGAATATATTATTCCATTAAAATAACGCCTTAGGAAAACGTCTGTCTCACAGTGATAGTAATCATTGACGTCGCGAAAAGGAACTCCCCCCCTCCGCGCAAAAAACAGAAAAAGAACAAGAAAAAAACAACAAAGTAAGAGAACGACAACAAGTGAGTGACCCCCTTTTTGCTGCTGTGAGTGCTTTGCCGCCCCCGCCTCCTCCCTGGAAAAAAAGCCCGCCCCCTACGCTCGAAAAAAAAACAGGCGACGCCCACGCATGATGCTAATGCAATCTTTGCATCAAGTGCATGAGCGAACTACGTGGTTTAGAAATGACCCGCAGTTTACGAGTTCAATCAAGAGCAGTGGAGCGAATGCAACAGTCGTAAATCACGGCTCGTAGCTTGTATTAGACTGTGCGGAGTTGGTAACCATATATACACAAGGCAATTTGGGACCCTTTGGTTACGCCATATTTTCCCACTCACGATCGCGTTATGACAAGTAAACGGCCAGACACTAAGCAATGACACCGTGACATTTAACTCGAGTGCGTAATATTTGCAATACTCTTTCTGCCAATGCCTTCATTTTTAGTTTACAAAATAGTGGCTCAGAAACTTCAGATGCAAAGGCATAAATTGGTCCATTTACGAGGGAACGGAGATCTTATTTTCTGCAGAGGGCAGCCTTTACGTTAGTCTGAACGACAAAATGCTATCCGTTTTCTCCAAGTTCTTAACTGAGGGTTCAAAGAGGGCATATACCTCACTGGGAGGGGTGCCCAAATGCGTTCATTATGTTAAACGTACCGTAGTGCAAGGCCGGGATTCCCAGGCCCAACTACCATGAGTTTAATAGATGTACTTGTTCTTGCGTCAAAAGTAAAACCTGTCATGGGAATCATGAATCAAGTAGCAATGGAGCAATATCACCTGCCCAGAATTAGGTAGCCAAAAACAAATTCCAAAAATCACAAATCTTGAAAGCTGTGTTATATCGAAAACTTATTCTACAAGTCTAGATGGCCAGTAAGATGCTTTAAATTTGAGCACCATAATGTAACTTAGAATGCTGCTTGATGCAGGTGTTCAGGCCTTTCCGCTCCGAGCGTAACAAAAGGACGTTTTTTGGGGGGAGGGGT